CGATTGCTCAGACTTGTCCGTTTGCATCTTCTTTGCTACCCAACTTATCAACCCTTTATTCATCAAATCCCCTCTTGCTCACTGATCCAACCTTTCAATCAAGCAGTCTTGATTTGAATTTGCCCTCGCCATCTATTGCGATTAACAATATGAATTTTGCCCTTAGTCCTCAACTTGTAAATTCATTTCAAATGCTTTCCACTCCCAACAACTTAGATTTGCCTGCTCATGACTCTTCAGTTGATGCTAACGCAGCTTCATTTTCTTCAGCTCAATCTATTATTAGCCAGAATCCTTTGTCTTCTCTTTCTCCTGATAGTGGGAAACTAAATGATACTCAGATGTCTGTCTTGTTGACTGCGCTTGCGTTCCCTATCTCTCTAGGAGGCAGGTACTCGTGGATGGGTCCCTGGGGGCCTTTGCTTCGCTATGGCACTTATGGACGTCTTCCTGAAAATCAAGTTCTCCCTAATCGGACTAGAATAAGCAGAACATTTGTGAAAAAGCTTATTGCTCGAGCTCGTGCCTTTGAAAAAAAAAGTGTAGATCAATCCGGTTTGGATTGTGATACCCAGTATTCTGAAGTGACTAGAAGTGGTTCGTCAATTGCAGATGACAACGATGATAACAACTTCTCTTTGAGTGAATGGCTACCTCCTCCTCCTCCTCCACTTATCCTTATGCGAAAGCAGTCTATGATATGTTCTCTCCAAGTGAGTTGTCTGTATTCTATATTTTGTCTCTGAATTATCTTGTACGATATTATGGTGTCTGTCTCTTTTAGTTGGCTGTCCGTGATCGGTTCCACGATTTGCTGATACGCGAAGCAGACAAGCAACGTTCATTAAACATTAATTATGTAGAAGAGCTGGCTATGTTTATTGAAAAGACAGTACGGATTAATGCTGTTTACCTCTTTACTCAGTTGCACAGGCTCCCCAAAGAGGAGCAAGCGTATTATCTTGACGGACTTGCTTTAAAGGTATGCGAAGCTTGTGGATTTTACTTAATAATATCTAGTCTGCCCTGATTGCATTAAATATAATAAGTAAACTTGCTCATTTCTACTAGTTTTATTTGTTTCACCTTTGTAACTTGATGCATTTATTCATTTAACTTTTAATTTTATCTAGCTAATTTTCAGATCATACATTTTGATTATGTAGTCTATGTCTGTTTCGAGTGCTTATTTTGATTTTCCCACCATAAATCTATTTTAAAAATAACACTCGTCTTGAACGATAAACCTCAAATGGTTAATTTTTATGTCGGAATATTTCATAGTTTTCTTAGCAAAGCTGCGTTTCTATAATCTTTAGTATTACATGCTTCATCGTGTACTTTCTCTAAATATGTGTTTAATCCTTTTTTCCTTCGACTATTTTTAAAGGTCATTCGTGTTTATCGTTGCATTTTTTATTTTTTAGGCTACTCATTCTGAACCCACAGTTCAAAATGGCAATGATTCTGTCCATATAGAACGACCTTACTCAATCTTAAATGTAGAAAACACTCCTGAATCTATGTCAACTCTGCAGAAGACC